CAAACGGCAACCAGAACGCAGCAAACGGCAACCAGAACGCAGCAAACGGCAACCAGAATGCAGCAAACGGCAACCAGAACGCAGCAAACGGCAACACCCAGAACGCAGGCAACGCGAACCAGAACGCAGCTAATGGAGGTAATGCTAATGCCGGCAACGGACGAGGCGGACGAGGAGGCAACGCTGGAGGCAACGGTCGTGGAAACAAGCGCTCTTCCAGCGTCAAGTTCCTCCGCAGATTCCTCGCATGAGACATGAGCACACAACGACAAGACATCGAGCTGAAAGTTAGAGGCACTTCGCAGGCAGACTGACTGCTTCAGGCGCCCTGGCAGGCTTGTTTTCCTTTCCCCTGCTGCAGGCTGAGCCTGAGTGGTTTGTAGATTTATAGATACCCACATGAAAGCATGCGTGCATATCAACACAGCTCCCATTTCGTGAGTCGCGGCCGTCAGCTCGAAGATAGCCAGAGAAAGGTGGAAACTGTGGGTCGACGTCGCTCGTGACAGACGCTAGATGATGAACAGCGGGTAGGTAGCGCCGCCTGTCGTAGGCCTCACATCTCAAGGCCGACACCAAGACCTGTTTCGACGCAGAAGCCCGTGAGTACCTCACGCTACATAATGTCGTGCCTCAGACAGACTACAAATCCCGCCGCAAACGCCGCTCCATCCAATCAGAAAACCGACAATAACGCTGACACCCGTGCGCGCTGAAACACGGCCTTTGACGGGCACGCAATCGCTCGCAAGCACCCTGCAAGTGTCGTGATCGCCTGCTCCCCAATCCACCCACGCAGCGCCTTAGTCGCGCCTCCACCTGACGTTTGCCTGCCAATATTGAATGCAGCAGGCGGTAGCGGGCTTGGCCTTTGACGTTGACAGTCGTGATCGCACGAGAGTGGGCTGATCCGACCTCGAAGCGGGAATTTCTTGCCGAAGTTGTTCGCAGATGTGTGTGTCGGAGCATATAATTGCATTCAACCTCTCCCGATGCGAGCGCCTCTGTGAAGCATACTCCCGTAATTGGATTGTCAGGCCAGCATTCCAAGCACTCAATCAGCGCGGCAGGTCAAGACGGTGCAGCCTTGTTCGTGCAAGAGGAGCTCCTCCGAACACCTTGTGAAGCGCAGCCCTACGATCGCCTGACTCAGGGACCACTTTGCATCATCGCCCGCGCTAGAACGTGAGCACCCTTACCCTTGCTGAGACATAAAGCACGCCGTCCGCCGTGAGCCCGTCGTTGCACTATTCACATCTATTCAGCCTCCGCCCGAGCACAAGATCGCCCAAGTTCCCCAAGACAAAAGCGGCTTGCATCGTGGAGATTGAGCAGATATAATATACGCACAATGGCCTTGTCAACACACGCCCTCGCCTCCATCCGTCGGTACTCGACTTCCCTACCGCGCGACCCGCACTACCGCCTCAAAGCCACTCTTGCAACAGGCTACGTTGTATCGGCGCTCGCACTGCCGTTTGTGCCGCCGCTGCTTGAGACCCGAAGGGCGAAGGCAGATGGAAGTTATCTGACGAGGTGAGTGACTAGATCTTGCACAGTGTACTCTGGAGCTCGTGCAGCTGCAGTTGTAGTCTACAGCGTCGGAAGAAGACTTACCCGACCAATCACATCGAGCCTTGAGGGATGCGCGTGAGATTCAGGAACGGCGCTAATGCTGTGCAGGGAGAATGTGTATTGCTCGAGCCAGTTCCATCAGTGTGCGCGGTGAGTGCGGAGATGGGTGAGTACCTCCACAATGAAGTATCTCTCTCAGAGTTGGTGCTGACACCGATGCAGTCTGCACATATTTCATCACATGTCTTTCTTCATTTGCATCAATCGTTTCATCATACCCGGCGCTTTTGGTTTGGCCTTTGGCGTTTGCATGTCCCTTGAGGACCGCATGGTTGGCGTTCTGCATCTTTCCAAGGTTGCATACACATCTGCAGGTTCTACCTGACTGTACGCAGCAATGTCAATTCCACCTTCAAACCTACTCATCTGCCCGCATGCACTTCATGATTCTATTGCTAGCATCGCAGACTATGGCGATTGCGTAGTGTCTTGATGCCCCGCACAACATTGAGATGGCAAGGCTTTCTGTGTATGCCGTGATTGCAAGGACACCAGCGGCAGAGTGCAGAGCAGACTCCGAGATGAGAGTCGGCAGATTGAGTGAAATACTCACAGCTGGTAGTGAATGCTGCTGCCTGGTGCCGGGTTGGTGCAGACGCGTACCGCGGTGCATGCTGGTGCGGATCGCGGACCTGCAGCAAACGTCATTGGCCCGAGCACCTGCCGCTCCCCACATGTAAAAGGTTTCGCCCCACATATGAAAGGTTCCACCCCATATGTGAAAGGTTCCGCTCCATATGTGAAAGGTTCCGCTCCATATGTGAAAGGTTCCGCTCCATATGTGAAAAGTTCCGCTCCACCATAGATGTCCGCGATCTTCAACGCGACGTCAACGCGCAACCGAAATCTGAATACTCGACCACTTCAGAACCTCGACCACTCCAACCACCGCCACCGCAGCTGCCATGGGCTCGAGTCTGCTCGGCAGCATCGACCATCGGCTGCCCAATGAGCTGACCCTCGCCGTCGTCCAGCAACTCGCCAATGATAACCGCACATTATGTACCCTCGCGCAGACCTGTCGCGGGCTCCAGCGGCTCACCGAAGAGCACATCTACAAAAACATCAAGCTGCGATCCGTCAGGGACCTCCAGCGCATCATTTCTGCCTTCGTTGCCCGCCATGAGCGAGTCCGCGCCGTGCACACACTCAAGATCCTGTACCGATGGACCGACCACCTGCAAGTGAGCCTGGAGCGGCGCAAGGCCTTCAACGAGTGCGTTGCCCAGATGGTGAACCTACGCGAATGGCATATCGAGAGCCCATACGACAACTTCAAGTGGGAAAAGGGCGGCCACGAGTGGGTCGAGGGCGACATGGAGCGCTTCAGGCAGGCGTTGGAGAAGGCGTGCGTCGACGGCGCGCAGGAGAAGGAACGCTTCGCGCAGGATCGGAGCCTGTACAGGACCATGCAGCGGACAGTGGGGCTGGCGCAGCTGGAGTCGCTTACGATACACTCGCACGGCGCGCATGCCGACTTTTGGGAGCTGGATGGCTTCCACTGCCTCTTCCGCCATCCTAGTCTGCGCTACCTGCACGTTTCTTGTGTGACGTTTCCAACGACTTTGGAGGTGCTCGGGCCGCACCAGAGGACCACACCGCTCACGACCCTCATCTTCGACGAGTGCAATCTGGAGACCACCAGCCTGCAGCAAATCTTGAGCACACCTGAGAAGCTCAGGCGTCTTACGATCGGAGAGAACGTCTTCAACATCGACCGAAGCGTCGAGTTGTCGCCGAAGCTATCTCCGCACCCCCTTGAGGCACTTCAGGCTCTCGCGCCTGTCGCGCACTCGCTTGAGACGCTGGTCCATCTGGATTCGAAATGGCGGCTCAACCCAGAGAATCACCACATCGCTCGTCAACGCATCACAGGCGACGGCATGCGCCAGTTCCACTCGCTGAAAACGCTCGAGTGCGATACAGGCTCCTTTCTGCATGAGGCGATCGTTATGAACCACGACCTTTGTCCACCCAACCTCGCTACACTGGTCGTGCGGCGCCATTTCCTCGTCGCCGAGAATTTCTTCGACTACCTCCCAGATGTGGGAATCTACGCTACTCTTCCATCGCTCGACACTCTCGAGCTCAAGCAGTCCGCCGCCTCGTTCAACAACGTGTCAACCGCCGAATACATCTGCGAGCCTGACCGCCTGCGCAATCGACATGCGTACGGCTACGCCCTATTCAAGAGCGATATCAACTTCAAAGTCAGTATCGAGCTTGGTCGCGGCTCCTCGCTCATCCCGCCCTACCTGCATGGCGAGCCAGTTCCAGAAGTCCGCTGCTTGTACGACGCCTCCCACGTCGGCTTCAGACGGCGCATCAACAATGACCCTATGGTTCATAACGACCCTCGGTACGAGCCAAAGCACATGTTGAAACCTTTCCATCCCTTCAGTGCGCGGCACATGGAATTCGAGCCGTCTCTGCACGAGCCTACAGAATCGGCCCCCACCTCCACGGACCCCAACCTGCCTGAAACCGACCAGCTCTCCTCCGTCGACATCGCCCGTCTTACAAACGAATGCGCACGCCTTCTCGACCGGATGAAGGAGCGCTTCACGCGCGGCTGGGGCCTGAATCGCGTAGGCGATCCCGACGATCCCGACATCGACTTGCCGCTCTCAGACCTCGACGACGATTTCGAAGGCACCGACGAAGAGACGGACAGCGATTTCGAAGCCATGATTGCTGACTTGCAGAATGACGGCGACGAAGACGCGTTTCTGCAGTTTATTGAGCATATGCAAGAACAGGGCATAGTAATCCAAATGGGCAGTGACGATGAAGAGGACGGAAATGCCGATGATGAAGACTTTGTGGACGCAGAAGAGGAGATCGATACGGATTGGGAGGACGCGGAAGATGATCTGGAGGAACATGACACTGACCATAATTGAGCACTGGTATATTGATCTACATAAGGAAAGTCGACAGCGCACAGTGCGAAGCAATGAGGAATTGATGCTCGTAACGCATTGAAATAAACGACATGCTCGATCATGGCTCGACACCTACTGCCATTCCCACCCATCTTCGCAAGCCCTAGTCATCCGTGTCCATCTCTTCGCCGCAAGACGCTTGTGCAAGATTCTTTAAAGCGCTCAGCGCCTCCTGCCGCGCCTGCTCGTTCGGCCAACACATCTCGATCACAACCTTATCGCCTCTCTGCCTCAGCGCTCTCGGCACCGGCAGATTATTTCCTTCTCCGTCGACGTGGCCATACAGGACAAAGTCCAGGTAGTACTTTTGCACATCCAGGCCCCTCCTAATGCCCTCCGTGATCACCATGTCGACCGCACTCTCCATCCTCTTCCCATCCATATGCCATCCTTCTCTCGACAACAGTCCCCAAAACTCCTCCGGCACACCGTTGTCGATCTCGTCGTCGAGCCAGGGATGCGTATCTAGGTCGAGGTCCTCGCTCAGGTAGGTGCGCACCAGGATTTCCGTCGCTTTATCGTAATCCAATGTCATCTCGCCCGTCAACACCTTGTACAGCATCCCCAACCCCTTCTGCGTAAGCAGCATATGACTCAACTCCCCAATGCCGTTCCCCAGCACCGGATCACTAAACCGCATATCCAGCTTGACCAAGAACAGCTGGAGCACAAGTATCTCCTGATCGCTCCAGATGCTCGCGTCCTGCAGGAACGCCTCCCTGACCGCCGTCGCCGTGCACTCCATAATCCCCCAGAACTTACACAGCACCGCGAACCCCACTGCCGGGACCCTCAACCCCTCCACCGCCAGCCTCGTCAGAATCCCCCGCACAACCCGCTGGCGGTGCAGAACCATCCCCACCCAGCGGAACCCGGGCACGTCGCGCGCCAGCCACGCCCGCCCGTCCATAGGCCGCAGCATCGGGTCCGAGATGCACAGCTCCGGGTACAGGACCCACGCGAAGATGCGCGACGCGACGGGCGCGTGGTATAGCGCGTACTCGTGGATCAGCGACACGGAGTACTTGTTCAGCCGGTAGTGGAATTCCTTGTCGATGGCGTACAGCGCCACGAGTGAGCCGTACGGCACCCGGATGCAGAACTGGAAGAAGAGGTTTGGGTGCCGCAGCAGCGACTTGTAGGCGTTGAAGGGCGCGTGCGGACCGCTGACGGAGCGGTACCCGCTGGAAAGGTTGCTGGACGAGGGCAAGGACGGTGTTGCGGCCGTGGTTGGTGGTTCTGCTTCGATGCCCCACACGCTGGCGGCGACGTTGCGGTGGCGGTGGTGGTGTCGGCGGAGGATGCGCGGCGCGCTGAATTCAGGTACGGATGGCATGGGGTAAGTCGGTGTGGTGGGTGAGAAGTCCGCGGTGCGCTTTTGGCCCTGGGAATAGTCCATGGTGATGTACGGCCGGCAGTGACTTTGTGGTTGGGATTGCTGTTTGCTGATATTCGGAGCGAGGGGATTGTGGGAAGAGTGTGTGTCGAACTTGTGGAGAGTCAGACAAGTGCTAGTCGAGGAGGTTAGGCAGCAAGCGGGGCAGCAGGTGAAAGAGGCTCTCGTCGTACCATAGTAAGCAGATGCTATGCTCACTCGGTTCATACACAGACCCGTTACATAGCTTTGATATGTTCACGCGGGCTCGAAGTTCCCCCGATATTCTCCACCTTCGACAAAGTCCCACTGGTAGCCTGTAGGGTATCCTAGCATAGCGAAGCCCGACAGCTTAATGTCATGTTTCGCTTTGCGCGGACTCTTGATGTCAATTTTGTCTTCGTCACCGGAACCTAATCTCACAAATCGGCCGTCGGCAAAGTCTTTTAGTTCTTGTGGGATGTAAAAGCCGGGCTTATAAGGGAAATTTTAGCGTTTGCTACCGACTTCATCCAACAGGAGCTATGTGTCTTCTTTTTCAGATCTAGGTCAGGATCAGTAACGCCCAGGCTAAACGTGAGCATTCCCTGTGAGTACGACCGGATGTTTATAAGAAACGCCGTGCTGGTGGCCGGGCTGAGTATGGAGATATTGCATAATATACTGCACCAACTGAACATTTCCTTGGAGGCTTCGACGTGGGAGGGAGTTTGCAAAACTCGGGTTCAACCATCTTCAGTGGAATCGAGGGATCTGGAGATGACCGGTTGGCATAGTGATAGACTGTGATCTAGTCATCTTCATCTGCAACAGCATTTCTCGAGTCTGAACACATAACAGTGAGTGACAGAATGGCTCGATAGCTGGGACGAGCCGAGGCGCCATGGTCTCCGATTGAATCTTGTGACCGTCCGCAAGCTGATCGATTTGAAGCAGCCGCCATCGCCACCGGACGAAGCAGCCATTCCAGGCACAGGTGGGCAGTTCAATTTTTGACGTTATCCAAGCCTTCATCACGGGTTAGACGTCATCGATGGGCAAAGTCGGTCTACGCATGCAGAGTGAGCCTCCGTACAACGATGTTGATGCCGCTGCGGAGCGTCTTTTGGAAGGTCCTCTGTCTTCAGCTTTTTGCTCATCTAGATCGATCAGCAACGTCTATATCTATTGTTATAGAGAAAGTGCTGGATATCAGGGGCAAGTACCGCGTATGTCAATGGCCCAGTGGCCAACGCGGGCAGTGTTTAGGTGCGACGCGGGCCACAAGCGAAGGAGCATGTACACTGCGTCTGTCCTTCGAAACTCGGACACGTACAGTGTCGACTCGCAGCTACTATGAGGGTGGTCGATATTCTTGAAGGCTCCGACGAGCTCTGGGCGTCGCGATTCGTGTACACTGTGGCCAAAGGTGGGCGCAGGATGCAGAACCTCGTAGATGTATGAGACTTTCCACAACGATCTTCACCAATATCGCAATTCGATGATAGCTTTGGGGAACATGATCCGCTGTAATGCTGTGTCTAGTCAGTAGTGACGCGGAGGAGCGTTGTGTTGAAGCCTGTCCACAGGACTTGTCCTCATCAACTATCGCGTCCCGAGGCGCGTTGATGTCATCCCCATGTATCAACTTCCACGTTGCAAGCACACCTGTACATTTGCCAATATCGACGGAGCCATAGTATAGGATCTTTACTTCTAGTGATCTCGAGCAACGCGAACTACATACGGTTTACTTGCTGGATACAACGGTCAGCATTCACCCGCAATTAGACTATGGTTGCTTGTGCGCACAAGGAATACCAGACCGTACCTGACACCTGGCACGTGCTGCGTCACTCATTCAACAGGCACTCGGGAATGATCATAGGGCATCCCTGCTGTTGTTGATGCTGATTATGCTGAATTACTACAATATCGATATTCGCGAACCAGTAGCCTCTCCCGGCCGATGCCCCACTCGACGCTAGCCGCAAATCCGCCGAGAAATCTCTGCACGCTGTATCGCGACCTTGTTCACAGCCAATCTGGGCGATGTTTCTGGATTATTGATCGAGACGCGAGCCATGTTAATATCGGGATTATATTTGTTTTTACAACTCAATCTTTCATCGTTCAGATCAATAAAATCTGGCCTAATGGCCCAATGGCAAGGCGCTTGACTACGATCATTCAGTAATCAAGAGATTCCAGGTTGTGAGTTTTACCCATCATCAATCAGGTTGGCCTGTATTCGAAAACTAACTGAATATTCAGCGACCCCTGGTTAGGTCATAAAATAATCTTTTTGCGCGCAGCCTCAGTTGTAGAGGGGCCTTGAGTTTAGCATGAGTTCTGGTATCTGTCAGAGAACAGTCTTGACGCTGGTTCGACCCTTGGTTAGGTCATTTTTTTTCATTGCACTACCTTTCTTCCTGCCTGTTTGTGCATCTGTGACCACGAAGAGTGCGATAGTGGCAGATTGCCTTCTCACCAGACCTGAATCTAGCCCTGGATTGCCAGAAATGTATGTGGTAAATACGGAGAGCGCATCATCACGAGTCTAAACCTGGCTTGTAGTGCTTTGATACATTGGGTATGTTTCCTTCCCTTCATTCTACCTCATTGCCATCTTTCCAAACCGAATCACTTCACCTTGCTCTCGATCTAAGCCGCGCGTCCGCAGAATATCCCAGCATCCGCTTCGCCTCCATGCAGAGTTATCAGCCCATTTAAAGCCGCTGATTGGCATTCATACTCGTCAGTGCACAACTGGCAGTTCCAGCCCTCCTCGCATCCTTGCGATGACGGTGACAGGTCTCCAATGCTTCATTCTCTTTATCTTCATACCAAAGACGCATAGCTTCAACATAGCCGACATCGCGTGGGAACGAGCAGTGCTTGTCAACAGACACCAGTTTCCCGGCTCCGATTCCCACCGGCTCCTCTTTCTTCTGCTCAAACTCCTCGTCGTGGGGCCTAATGTCATTGTTGGCCGCCTCGATGTTCACCTCGAGGAGTGTGCGGCGACTGCGTCGGGTGCTGATAGTTTCTCGAGAGACTTTTGAGGCTGTGTCATCAAAGCTCAGAGTCGATGGTAACAGAATCTTGCTGGGGCTTGGTGATAGAGTAATGGTAGAAGTTTGTCGATCCTGTGTGTTTGTCGCTTCAACTGAAAGCGAGGGCGAAGGTGACGGCGGGTTCATGCGCAACGGGTGTATGCCGGTGTCAAGACCACGGCGGAGGCTTCCAGTGAGGCTGACTGAGGGTGGCTTGGGAATTGTGTACTCGTGTCGCGACGGCGTAACGGACTGAATGTGATGACTGGAGGTATTTCCTGAGGGCCTCCGAGCCGAATTCACATCATTATGCGAACTGAAGATGTCATCCACCGCATCGTCTTCGTTCACGCGCTCTGATATCCAGCCACCGAAAGTCGATACTGTGGCAATACTTAAAGGCGAAATGGGCGGTACGCGAGACGGGGAATTGAAGATATCTGCTCGATCTAGCCTATAGGGCGAGGGTGCAGTAGTTCTGCTACTGTCACTATTCCGTCGCGACTGGGTCGCTGAAGTTCGTTCTCTCCTGGGCGTGACCGATGTAGACAGGACTGGCACGTTGCTAACACCCCATTCCTCCACAGGCTTCGAGAAGCTCGATAAAGCGCGAATGATACCGTTGCGGTGCTTCGTTGGCGTTGGCGACGCTTCAGAACGTGCGTGCGACATTGCTGATATTTTTCGAGAGTCACGTATTGGGATGGAGGGTGGAAGTAGGTATAAATAATATTTATAACAGCGATTGCAGGGTGAAAGTCTTGACGAAAGAAGCGAAAGGCAACTTTTGGCGATTCATCTTCACTTTCACCTCTATGGCTTAGCGAGCTACCTTGACCAGCGGGCCCTTGAGGCCATCACGAATGTGGTGTATCGACCCTATCACGAGTGCGATTACAACACATGATTGGCGCTCCAGAAACGCCTTGTGTCCCTTGTGTAGGCTGCCGCTCGCTTTCGTTTCAAGGCTCGCAAAAAAAAGAGATTGTATGGTCATGTATGAGCATGTATTCCTGAGATCCCTAGCTAAGCCACAGTCAAGGAGACGCACGAAAAACAGTAACCAGGCTTTGCTAGAATGTCACTCGGGATGTGATCTTACTGTCATTAGTCACAAATGATGTCACATACCAAATGCATTTCTAGTCTTTAAATATAGCATAAAATCACTCAAGACAGTCATCGCTCCTCGCAGGGCTCGTAAGATAAACTTTCATGGTCCTCAACCTCGATTTTATATGCTCCACCTTTAGTCGCGAGCCACCCGCCTTTTCTCTGCCTCTGCACGCTTGTTGAGACTCTATTGGCGGACGTCGGTACAATACACTACGATTCACTGCTGGTACTCTTCGACTCAACGATCTCTGGAGTCGCTGCGGGCGGGTGATACTCTCTAGTTGCTGACGACATGAACGTTGTAGTGAAAGAGGGCGTCGAATTACTATCAAAAATCTTGTGAGGCCAATCGAAGTCACTCGGTATGCGGGTAATCCTGGGTGGGTGGGGCGGTGACAAGGAGGACGGAGTCGTGATCACATTTGCAACCTTCTCCCCCAGCTCGATCAACTGATGCCTTATGCGGCCATGCATGCTTAATTTAGCGCGACTGCGTTTTGCTGGAGCTTGACCGGAACTTTCGAAATGAGTTCCTAGTTTGCGCTTCGTCGTGGTGGCACTTGGAGAAGATGAATTCAAGGGAACGCTCGACTCAACATAGGCTGACTCAGAAGGCAACGTATTAGGAGACGCTGCAAATGATTCAGACTGTGAAAAAGACGGCAGTGCACCTCGTGCAGTCGATTTACCTATTCCTGATGTGGTAAGTGGCAAGGGATCGCGACGACCAACCAAAAATATTGGAACTAATCACGCCAGAACTTGGACTACCCTGTGCAGACTCATTCACTATCTCAAGCTCTGAAGTAGAGACTTGGGGGATCGACTCTGTAGTTGGCCTGGACGGGTGAGTCGTCGCCGACGGCGGGGCCAAATCCTCGAGACAGTATACGTTGTCGTGTCTAGATACACGACCAGCAGCCTCATCATCAGCCGCATTATAGATGATTGCTTCGGTGGCGGTGAAGTCGCCAAATAGACCAGCTTCGTATAGCTTAGGCCACGACACAACGTTCTTGTCGATCTGAGCATCGTACAAGACCTCTTCAAGCAATAGCATGCTGCGGCTCTTGCAATACAGCACTGATTTCAGCACACAAAGTTAAAAGCTGGAGTTCACCGTCTGCGTCACTGTTCGGACGACCAGGCCAAACATGATCGCTTACGTTACCATTCTCAGCATGGATGATGGTGTCCGTATGACTCGGATTGTCAAGAGTCGGCATCGCATGAGTTTTGAGTATAGGCACTGCTGTCAGCTCTTTCTAGATGACTTGGGTGACGCCATACAATAGATCTATCTTTGAGGCGTCTCGACTCTGCGATTGCTCCGATACCGCTCATACTTGCAGTGCAGGCCTCGATCGTATTGTTTATGCCACCACGAAAGGTTTCACCACGTTCGACGCACTCAAGGACTGCCCCGTCATTGACCAAAATAGTCCTCTTCCATAAGTCTCCTCCATTACACAGCCCCAATATAGCCCCTCTCTTTTCCCTCTCTTTTCGCAATTTCCTCTACATTCAGTGCCGTTCCGTCTTTAAGCGATTTCTCTAATTCTTCCTTCCTCACGCTGCATTTTGCGCCGTAACTGCACTTGTTTCTGCCGCAATTCGCGTTCCACCAGAAGCTTTCGCCCCAACAAGTGCTTCCAACCAGCTCCAGTACCAGCACACATACGACCAGCCCAGACGTAGCGGCGACTAACTCTAGGCTATCGAGATGCGCTAATGGGAGACAGGTGATGACGATAGCCATGGCGACACGAAAGAGGAGGCGGAAGTGTTTCTTGATGCGCTGATTCGGAATCTTACGATGTGTATGCGTCCATGCGATGATTGCGAGACAAAGGAGAGAGATGCCAAGACCACCGCAGTAATACCATTGCAGACCTATCGAGATGTGATCGTCTGAACGAGGTATGGAGGTTTCAAACAGTGACTCCACCTCGGCGTCCAGACAGTCGTGGGCTCGAACCAGTACTGCGAGTGCACCAGCGCTTAGGACGAAGGACATGATGAACGGCAGGTGGATTGAGAACCAAACCATAGCTTTACACAGTGTCAGCTGAATCTCGATCAATTGTGCCATTTTGGTGTACCTGATCCCACGTGCCGTCGGATAGCATGTGTATGCAGGTTGAAGGAGTCAATCTCGAAGTATATCCAATTGAAAGTGAATGCTTGGACAAGGCCAAGCACAGCCTTGCCGAAAAAAGCATTGACACCCATCGCCGAAGAGCTTTGGTATAAGATGCCCAATACACAAGACCCAAAGACCAAAGTAACAAAAGCGTTCGTTCGCTCGATCCTGTGTTCGATATTAGTCCCTGGAAAAAACTCCAGCCGCTCTTGCCAGCTTGCGGGCAGTTTGCGTTGGAAGCCTCCAGGTCTCTGAAGTGTGATCATCAGATAGCTTCCAAAAAGATCGAACATTATTGCGGTCCAGATGAGACCCTGGCGAACGGGTTCTTCGACGTAGATACTGCCTATCCAAAGAGTTACTGGGATGAGCGCAATGATACCATTGCCGATCATGGACGCGCGGACCATCGGGATCAAGTACGCGTACCAGAACAGGCTCATGATCAGGAACAGCCTCGCAGTAACGTAAAACGCGACCAGTGGCGTATATGTGTGCTCGAACGCGTCCACCATGTTTGTCGTGAAGCCAAGCAAACATGTCAGGATGAACAGTACGCTGCAGCGCCGTAGAACGTCGTCGCTGTCGAACCACGAGATGAGTAAACTGATATCGCTCCAAAATTTCCAGCCCATGATAAATGTGATGACAAAGTGGAGCAGTGATTGCCCATTTGGATGCTCGGCTGCGGTGTCACCCGTAATCGCGATAATACCAACATAGAAAAGGTCGATAAACAGCTCGTAACTAGCGACTTCCTGTGCCTCTCGCGCGCGCCAAAGAAGTCCCTTGTGAAAGTATTGGCGCACAATGGGCTTTTGATAGAAGCGCATTGTCTCGCCGAGCTTCAGGTCAGCGTGCCATGTTTCTTTGTCAAAATTTGAGTCACTAGTCGAGGAGCCATCTTCATCGCTATAATCCCTGGTACGCAGATGCGCAGAATAGCCATACTTCGAGAAATTTGCATCAAGTCGCACAGCGTGCTCGCTGATCATATGGAGTTCAGAGGAAAGGGCGCCAAGTTCGCGGAACACATGTTCGAACTCAGCAGCAAGGTCTGGGTACTCTTCCTTGAGCTGGCGATGCCGCTCTTCATGATGAGAATGAGTATCGCGAAGGGCTTCGATCTTGGTTTCCGCAGGTCAGTCCGAGTGCGTTGCACATACGATAGCGTCTGCGAACATACATGCTCAGGACTCCCATGAACGACCAGATCGAAGTTGTCCTGCTCGTTCAGGCGCAATGTCTGGCCCATCCGGCGAGCCTCATCTGGATTCCCTGCGACGTGCACTTGCCTCCCATCTGGAAGGAGTAGGTGCCTGATCCTTCTTCCAGCACCGTCTAAGTGGTGATGGTGATGATGATGTTGGTGTCCAGGCGTTGTACTAGCCGGTGTCTCGGCGCCATCGATCAGGGTTGCTGGCGTTAAAGCCATAGCAGCGGTCAAAAAAATGATAAGATATGCATGAAGAACGCGGCGGCTCTGCCTATTTGAGGCGAAAAGCACCTGTGTCCTGCGAGGGCTCGGTCATACCCAAATGCCCTCCTGCCGCGACAATGTGGCGTGCCTTATCGGTGTAGATGAGAAGGTGATTGGGCTTGACGCATCGCAAATGATGAATTAGCAGAGGTGAATAAGCACACTAGCTGCGGGGTAAGCGTCGGTGGTGCAGGCGCTAGTTTTACCAATCTCGGTTCTGCTGTTTTCGCTTTTCCACGGAATGCGCGGATTCACCAAATGCGCGCGATCGGCCCTACTAGCCCAAGCAAACATGAGGCTGTAGAGCCATCCACAATTGATGAATATAACGTACTGTGGAAGCTGAGTAGTCTCTGATCGTTGATCAAGTGTGAAGAAAGTGATCAAGTTCCTTCTTCTATCTACGGTGCTGAATGAGCAGAATATATACACCGATACTCATCCAGCTAACGTAGATTATCACCGAGCCGGCCATATCACTAAACTGGCCATTTTCTCTTAGCACGACTAACACAAGTTACTATAACTACAACTACTTACTATTAAATAGTAACCTAGTATACTGTGTGCTTGTATTAGATTTAGAAGATGTTTCTGCACCCTCCTAGCACGTTCGTGCGTTATGTCTAGTCTTGCTACAGTTCCTACAGCGCTAAACAGTTGACTAAGCTCCTAGTTGACTACCTCTACCCTAAGTCTTCTTAGATAGCTAAGCTGCTACACACGCCTTAGCAGCTACCCACGATGCTGCTGGGCCATACTTAAGTGTGCCACCATGCTAAATCTGCTTTCTCTTACGCGATTTTCTCTTAGTTATTACTGCTAATTACTCTTTAAGCTCTTGCACGCAGGCCTTAATAAGGACATTTTTGTGCAGCATCTCTTCAGCCCCTTTTACAAGCTTTAAGAACCCCTCTTATAACGTAGATTATCACCGAGCCGGCCATATCACCGAACCGGCCACTTTCTCTTGGCACAACCACCTTTTACCCCAACACAACATGCCTTAACAACAACAACTTCAGAATACTACTAGAGAAGGCAGAGTTATCCTTGCTATCTAGGCCTTCTATGCTAGCTAATTTTGCAGTATCTACAGTGCTGCTAGAGTGTTGAACGTACCTTATTAGCAGGTCTCTAATTGCCTTTACAATATTATATTTTAACTAGACGTACACACTAATTGCTAGAAACTTACTATACTAGAGGAGCAGACAATTATCTAGTATATACTTAACCTTAATTTGCGAGGATTTGCGCCCCAGCTATGTGAGGTGGCAGATATGGCTGATAAGATACTTAGTGTGCGTGGTGAAGAGCCTGTTGGCAAACTATGGGCTAGCAGGCTTGTGACGCGTTCAGACAAGCTTAAAATGGCCTTTAATTAAGCTAAGGATAGACAGAGGATACTACAGGAAGATCCTAAGATAATTAGCGCGTGGTTTAAGCTAGTAGAGGATACTTAAGTTAAGTATAGCGTTTGCAACAACAACGTGCACAACTTTAATAAAACTAGGTTCTAGATAGGCGTTGCTTTGTCTTTAAAGGTTGTAACAGGCTTAGAGAGACGTGCTCAGCCAGAGCTTGTTCAGCCAGGTGATCGCGAGTGGGTTACCGTTATCCAGAGCATCTGCGCCGCTAGGTATGCAACCCTGCCTTTCATCATCTACAAAGGACGTGTCTACATCTCTGCCTAGTATGAGGAGACAGATATACCCCACGATTAGAAGCTCTTAGTCTCTAAGAATAGTTAGACAAACAACACGCTTAGCCTTAAGTAGTTAAAGCACTTTAACACACATACAAAGACGTGTTAGGTAGGAGTGTATAGGTTGCTTATCTTAGACAGCTATAAGAGCTATCTTAACTAGGAGTTTAAGGACTATTATCTAGAGAACTAAATCCTTACTCTCTATATGCTACCTTACTTATTACACATCCTCTAGCTACTTAACATAGTCTGTTTCTTGCTATTAAAGCGCAAGTACTCCTAATATATTTAAGACTTAGCACACTAACATGTCTTCTATATTAACAAGGAAGGCTTCCTACTAGCCTTTAGGGACGTGTTCCTTAATGTGTTTATAAAGGTTAACTACTAAAAGGCCTTTAAGGTATTAGGGCTTATTCCTACTAATATGTAGGTAGTGTTAGATTGCCTTAAAGTGCAGCTGCATACCCTACTAGCAGTACCTCTACCTAAAACGCTGTGGCAATCTAAGACGCTAAGCAATACACACAAGTTTAGGTCTTAATCTAAGCTTGTAAGCAACTCCTTCTAATAATTACTAAGTGCAGCGCAAGAGGGGTTCTTAAAGCTTGTAAAAGGGGCTAAAGAGATGCTGCACAAAAACGTCCTTATTAAGGCCCGCGTGCGAGAGCTTGAAGAGCAATTAGCAGTAATAACTAAGAGAAAATCGCGTAAGAGAAAGCAGATTCAGCATGGTGGCACACTTGAGTATGGCCCAGCAGCATCGCGGGTAGCTGCTGAGGCGTGTGTAGCAGCTCAGCCATCTAAGAAGACTCAGGGTGGAGGTAGTCAACTAGGAGCTCAGTCAACTGTTTGGCGCTGTGGGAACTGTAGCAAGACTGGACACAACGCACGAACATGCCAGGAGGGTGTAGAAACATCTTCTAAATCTAATGCAAGCACGCAGTATGCTAGGTTACTATTTAATAGTAAGTAGTTGTAGTTGCAGTAACTTGTGTTAGTCGTGCTAAGAGAAAATGGCTGGTTCGGTGATATGGCTGGCTCGGTGATAATCTACGTTACTACACTTAGTAATTGTTAGAAGGAGTTGCTTACAAGCTTAGATTAAGATCTAAACTTGTGTGTATTGCTTAGTGTCTTAGATTGCTAAAGTGTTTTAGGTAGAGGTACTGCTAGTAGGGTATGCAGCTGCACTTTAAGGTAATCTAACACTACCTATATATTAGTAGGAATAAGCCCTAATGCCTTAAAGGCCTTTTAGTAGTTAATCTTTATAAATATATTAAGGAACACGTCCCTAAAGGCTAGTAGGAGGCCTTCCTTATTAATATAGAAGATGTGTTAGCATGCTAAGTCTTAAATATATTAGGAGTACTTATGCTTTAATAGCAGGAAATAGACTATATTAAGTAGCTAGAGGATATATAATAAGTAAGGTAGTATATAGAGAGTAAGGATTTAGTTCTCTAGGTAATAGTCCTTAAACTCCTAGTTAAGATAGCTCTTATAGCTATCTAAGATAAGTAACCTATACACTCC